ACCTATTTCTCATACTCTAGTTACACTGGGAGTACATCAAACAAGAGAATTCATCTCAAGTCATATTACCCATATCATATGAAACCCTAAGTTGAAAATAAACATAATTAGGAAAAAATTCCTACCACTTGAAGCATAAAACAAGTGGTAGAAAAATCTCTCAAGACCCAAATCAAGTTTTAGCCCTTGATTTTTAAATTTTCGTTCTTTGAACTTCGTCAAAAGCCGTGTTTTTTGGTACATAGACGTAGCCTTCAACGCGTAGATGAACTTTAGTTCTTAACCCAAGTTGATTCGACGAACGTAGAGTCGTAGATCATAAAGAGAAGTTTGAAGAAAATCTTAATTTTCCCTCTCTTCTTCCCTCTCTCTTTTTCGGAAAAACCCAGCTGAACAAATGGGAAGAAAATATGATTTTCTACCCTACTTATACTCCTTGGAATACTTAGCCCTCGTTGCGCCACACGTCCTCCTTTCCCGGGTTCAATTTCGCCTCAAATCAATTAAATTTTGTTCTGGTACAGGTTCAAAATATTTTTATTTGAATNCATGTATTTTACAAAAACGCAATTTAAAACCACATCTCGGCTTTTCTTCATCTATGAGGGCCCGAGTGAGAGTCATCCGTCGACGCATGTCCCGCACGTGAAATATTGTCCCTATAAAAGATGAGTTACGCTTAATAGGGTTTCTCCTAAAAAGGCTACTCTCTAACTTAAATGCATATGAAATGCTCACATGTAAGTCAACAAGCAAGAAATAATCCATTCAAGAATATGCAATTTATAATAGAATTTTTTTATGTCATGGCATGTCATGAGATGAAACTCACACATCCAACTAAACTCAAACCTTCACCGACTTCAATAACACATGTAATGTCATGCGTATGAATCCGGGCATTCCAATCCCCTGTCATTGATGTTACACTTCTAATGACCATTTTATAAAATAAAGCATGTATCTTTCTTGAGTACACGGATTTTGGTATCTCACTACCGATTTCATGACACCAATACATTTTTTTGGACTTGCACCGACGAAAGTGTATAAACTAGTAACTAGGTCTTACACCTGATGGAGAATCTAGCCCTTTTTACTATATCCAATACAAATTTTTTATGCAACTGTGCAACTCAGCCGGACCTAGGTCCAACCTTTCTGAATCCACGTCTCAACCACCAAGAATGATGTTTAATCCAAAAATATGCACACACACCCACACTCATGTCAAATGCCAACGAATGTGATACTTCATGTGCATATGCAAATTTAATGTACACTTGCAATTTCATTATCATGTTCACATGTCATGAGCTTAATATGAACATCTTAAATACCTTTCAACATTTTTCCATGGTCAATTACATCATAAGCATGTAACCACCATCAACAACCTCAATGTTAATATATCATAATGCATATATCAACATCAACTCTCAAGCATGTCATAACATAATCAATGCAAATAACACACTTAATCCACATAGGTATTTCAATAAACACCTTCAAGGTATAAATGTAAATACTTAGTATGTCCAATCAATACATTTCACAAAAAATCACAAAGAAGTAATTTCTAAACACTCAATTCATGCTAGAATTGATTTTAACCCTTCTCAATACCTATTTTTCACATTTCAACTACCATAGGTATGTGTCATACTATGTTCAACATGTCATGAGCACAATATGAACATTTTCAATTCCTTAATGTAATTTATGTCGTAAAACATATAATTACATTTCAACATCATCAAATTCCCAAATTGTTAATTATATCAGAGGCATATAATTACAATCCACATTTTCACCAAGCATGTTATAACATTTTCAATTGAACCAACATGCTACATCAACATAGGCATTTTATCAAACACCCAAAAGACATACAATAATGTAACACACAATCATACCTAATTTATCACATTTCTCATGAATTTACCAAACAAGTAAATTCTATAAACCCAATTCATGTAAGATTGGTTTAGTATATTTCTACACCTATTTCTCATACTCTAGTTACACTTGGAATACATCAAACAAGAGAATTCATCTCAAGTCATATTACCCATATCATATGAAACCCTAGGTTGAAAATAAACATAATTAGGAAAAAATTCCTACCACTTGAAGCGTAAAACAAGTGATAGAAAAATCTCTCAAGACCCAAATCAAGTTTTAGCCCTTGATTTTTAAAATTTCGTTCTTTGAACTTCGTCAAAAGCCGTGTTTTTTGGTACGTAGGCGTAGCCTTCAACGCGTAGATAAACTTTAGTTCTTGACCCAAGTTGATTCGACGAACGTAGAGTCGTAGATCATAAAGAGAAGTTTGAAGAAAATCTTAATTTTCTCTCTCTTCTTCCCTCTCTCTTCTTCGAAAAACCCAGCTGAACAAATGGGAAGAAAATCTGATTTTCTACCCTACTTATACTCCTTGGAATACTTAGCCCTCGTTGCGTCACACGTCCTCCTTTCCCGGGTTCAATTTCGTCTCAAATCAATTAAATTTTGTTCTGGTACAGGTTCAAAATATTTTTATTTGAACTAACTTTAAATTATTTTTCACTTTTCACAATTTAATTCCCGATCTCATTTATTTAGGTCACACAACACCCGATCGCCTCGAGAAAAATTCGATTGTATCTAAATTTAACGAAAATTGAGTAGGTAACTAAATTTTGCGAGACGAATCCAACAGTGAGGTCCGTTTCGTCAGTCGAGTTCTAAAAAAAGTTGGATTTTCAACCCGTAACGTAGTGACTAATTACCGTTTTGCCTTTTTTAAAAAAAAATCAAATTTACTCGGATTTTACAATTATAATAGTGTGATAGAGTTGTGACGTTCTCGTTTTGTTATTTTTGTTTATCGAGAACGGTCTTTATAATCTCCAACCTTTCAATGGTGAAATCTTGCTGATGTATTTCAATCGTGGACGTAGGGTTTCTTGTTGGGTCGAACCACGTAAATCTCTTGTGTTCTATTTTTCTATTTCGTTTCATTATTATTTTTCTTGTGATTTTGGTTCATAACAATTTTCATATTTATTACAACTATACAAATTTGTTGATTGTCATAAATGATTGGTTGAAAGAATATCTATTACAAAATGCTTAGTTGAATTTTAATTTTACATAAGCAATGTATAAAATAAGTTTAAAAAACTCTAATAATAAAGTCTCTTAAAATTAGTTTAAAAAAATGGTATAAATGATTTCAAGGCAATTGCTTTTGACTTTTTTTTTTTTTTTGGTTATATAGTGCCTTCAAACACAAGCAATGACTAGTTCAATTATATTATACATAAAAGTGAGCCACATATTAGGGATGTTCATGAGAATATTTTTTTTTTTTTTTTTGTTAACAAGAAAAAGAAATGATTTCTTGTGAGTTTTGCTAGTTTAGCAAGGTTAATTGTTATGGTCAAATAATGCTACTTAATCACAAATCGAAGTTGTATAGAATAATGGCAATGAAATAGAATCAATAGAATCTACAAACCCCATCGAAAATAATGTTCAATAGAATCTCATTTAATTACATAAGATGAATTATCGACAAACCCCATAGAAAATAATGAAATCAAACTCCCTCTTCTCTCTCAATTTTCCTATTTATTTCTTCTTTGTCTCACAATAGTTTCATAGAAAAAGTGATTCTTCAGTTGATCAAACAACTCGAATAGCAAAGAACCAGTTGATCAATCAACTTCATTAGAAAGAAGCAGGGGCAGGGGCAGGGGCAGAGGCAGAGGCACTGAAATCAGAGGATAATTCACTAGAAATAGGACCAGGGGCAGCACCATTACTCACGAGCTCGATCATGGCCCGGTGAGGGTTGGTCTTCACTTTATCACATAGATCTGGCAAAAACACTCCTGCACCATGTTTGAAAACATCATTAAAAATCATCGTATTGGAAATAACTGTACAGTCTCTATGTTCATTGTATTTATCTCTTGCCATATACCACAGGGATTTACTGAATGAGGAAGGCTCATTGTGTCCCCATTTTTATCTTAAAAAAAGTAGTCTAATGTCATCAAACTCAAGAGTCATTATGTATTTGATTGAGTCACTTTGACAAGTTCAACTAAACTGATGTGTTCACATATACCTATTAAAGCCATTCTACAAAAGGTATGTCACCATTCTACAAAAGGTATGTCACAGATTATGTATTTGGCAGAGTTCTAATGACCCTTTCAACCACATCAAAACTCATCTGCAATCAACATAAATGTTATGGATCCGTTTGGAGCTGACTTTTTTAGGTGTGAATCAAAGTTTTAAAGACTGAAATGAAAAAATCAGAGTTAAAAAAACTCTAAACCCTTTAGAGTATTTTCAAAAGAGTCGACTTTTCTTTGAAAATCCTTAAATAAACCTTATTTTTCAACTTTCTTTGGTGCTGATAAAAATTGTTTTTGTCCAAAATACGCTTGCTCTTTTCTATTGCCTAAAAGAATCTTTCAACCTTTATATTTTTCTTCATTGGAAATGCATTTTATCTGTCCTGCTTAATTCAAAGTTGAATTTATAAGTTAATCAAACAACCCTTTTCCACCAAATTTTAAAAACAAAAGAATTGAAGGTTTTAGAAGACTTCAGATATTATAGTTTGAATGCAAGACCTAGTAAGGCAAATTGAGTGGATAAAAAAGAACAAGTCGTCCTGAAAAAATTTTTTTTTTTTTTTTATGGAACACAAAGGAAATAATATGCAAATTACCAAACATCATTGCAAAATCACATGTTGTCCTAACTAATTCACTTGCAACTAGAATTTATTTAGTTTTCAATCAGACTCTTTCAACTATTTTAAACAAGTGGCGCTGCTAGCATTCGAAATTAGAACGGGTACGTCCCCCTTTAGGCAATGGGAGGATTAGATGACTCGTTTATATCGTACCGATCAAGAACTGAACAGTTTGACCAAAGTTTGTCAATCACACGTACTCTATTCACGTTTTATTTTGAACCCAAGCCAATTAGAAGGATCATGATGTTTTCTTACCTTCTCCGGCGGCCAAATTGAAGTAAAGATCGACAATGTTGGGGCAGTTCCGGTAGCAAGATGGAGAGCAAAGCTTGGTAGTGAATTGTGGCTCAAGCAAGGCATCAGATGATATTCCAACAGAGTTCCTATCAACCCCACATGCACTAACACATTGATCAGTCTCTATGTACTCAGCCATCCTCGCAACAACCACTTCTGATGTCCGGCATTGATATGCCACCTTTCCGTCTTTTGTTGCGTAATTCTCCAACAAACACCTCTTGCCGGACGATGCAATTGAAAATGAACAAACATCCGTAGGCAAGTCCTCGCATATAATCTCACCTAATGTAGCAAAAAAATACATATAAATATTATTTAAAAAGCAAATTCAAATTTCTTTTCTTTTTTTAAAGATGATTTCGTTAACATGGAGAAAGGTATACGCATAAATAAAGTATGCTCCGATTTATAATGAAGAAACCCGAAACAAAAAAAAAAAAAGGGTAAAATACGCTTTTAATTCCCAAAGTATGAGCGTGTCTATTTAATCCCCAATCTTTTAATTGTGCCTATTTGGTCCGTAAGTATCCTAATTTGTGGTCCAATTCCAAACTTGCCTATGGTCAAACGCCATTCACATGGGACTAAATAAATGCAAAATTAAAAATCATGTGATTGGTGCATGACCAGAATCGTCACAATTTTTTTACAAATATTTGGAATTAGACCACGTAGATACAAATTAGAAATCTTAGAGACCAAATAGACACAATTGAAAATTTAGGGACTAAATAGGCACTAAATGCATATTTTAGGCACTAAAAATGTATTTTACCTAAAAAAAAGAAAGGTATAGTGATGGCAGATCTTCTATAGACAAGAAGGCAGAAGACATGTCATCCTCAAGAACAAAAGAATAAGCATTTACAAACCCATTTCAAAACAAAGAACAAAAAGCATAAGAAAATTGGTATGTGAATGCATACAAACATTGTGTATACGAAGAGAGATGAAGAAAAAGATACCTAGTGTTCCATGGAGGAAGAGAGAGCAAGCAAAGAAGAGAATCAATGGAGATGTCCTTGAAAAAGCCATAGATAGATCGTTTATTTTGTTCTTGTTTTGCTTGTCTATGGAAAGAAAGGGATTGCTTTGGGGGAGATTTGGAGGAAAAGAATTATGTTGAGGATTGAAAAGGGTTGGTGAGAGAGAGGAAATGGAGGATGTTGTTTGTGTATGTGAGTTTTAATGATGGAAATGGTGAGCTGCCTTAATATAGGGTTTGCTCACCGCCTTGATGTGCTCTTCTTGCCTTCTAAGTATCTCCTCCTATTTTGANGCATTCCAATCCCCTGTCATTGATGTTACACTTCTAATGACCATTTTATAAAATAAAGCATGTATCTTTCTTGAGTACACGGATTTTGGTATCTCACTACCGATTTCATGACACCAATACATTTTTTTGGACTTGCACCGACGAAAGTGTATAAACTAGTAACTAGGTCTTACACCTGATGGAGAATCTAGCCCTTTTTACTATATCCAATACAAATTTTTTATGCAACTGTGCAACTCAGCCGGACCTAGGTCCAACCTTTCTGAATCCACGTCTCAACCACCAAGAATGATGTTTAATCCAAAAATATGCACACACACCCACACTCATGTCAAATGCCAACGAATGTGATACTTCATGTGCATATGCAAATTTAATGTACACTTGCAATTTCATTATCATGTTCACATGTCATGAGCTTAATATGAACATCTTAAATATCTTTCAACATTTTTTCATGGTCAATTACATCATAAGCATGTAACCACCATCAACAACCTCAATGTTAATATATCATAATGCATATATCAACATCAACTCTCAAGCATGTCATAACATAATCAATGCAAATAACACACTTAATCCACATAGGTATTTCAATAAACACCTTCAAGGTATAAATGTAAATACTTAGTATGTCCAATCAATACATTTCACAAAAAATCACAAAGAAGTAATTTCTAAACACTCAATTCATGCTAGAATTGATTTTAACCCTTCTCAATACCTATTTTTCACATTTCAACTACCATAGGTATGTGTCATACTATGTTCAACATGTCATGAGCACAATATGAACATTTTCAATTCCTTAATGTAATTTATGTCGTAAAACATATAATTACATTTCAACATCATCAAATTCCCAAATTGTTAATTATATCAGAGGCATATAATTACAATCCACATTTTCACCAAGCATGTTATAACATTTTCAATTGAACCAACATGCTACATCAACATAGGCATTTTATCAAACACCCAAAAGACATACAATAATGTAACACACAATCATACCTAATTTATCACATTTCTCATGAATTTACCAAACAAGTAAATTCTATAAACTCAATTCATGTAAGATTGGTTTAGTATATTTCTACACCTATTTCTCATACTCTAGTTACACTTGGAATACATCAAACAAGAGAATTCATCTCAAGTCATATTACCCATATCATATGAAACCCTAGGTTGAAAATAAACATAATTAGGAAAAAATTCCTACCACTTGAAGCGTAAAACAAGTGATAGAAAAATCTCTCAAGACCCAAATCAAGTTTTAGCCCTTGATTTTTAAAATTTCGTTCTTTGAACTTCGTCAAAAGCCGTGTTTTTTGGTACNTGGTATAAATGATTTCAAGGCAATTGCTTTTGACTTTTTTTTTTTTTTTGGTTATATAGTGCCTTCAAACACAAGCAATGACTAGTTCAATTATATTATACATAAAAGTGAGCCACATATTAGGGATGTTCATGAGAATATGATTTTTTTTTTTTTTGTTAACAAGAAAAAGAAATGATTTCTTGTGAGTTTTGCTAGTTTAGCAAGGTTAATTGTTATGGTCAAATAATGCTACTTAATCACAAATCGAAGTTGTATAGAATAATGGCAATGAAATAGAATCAATAGAATCTACAAACCCCATCGAAAATAATGTTCAATAGAATCTCATTTAATTACATAAGATGAATTATCGACAAACCCCATAGAAAATAATGAAATCAAACTCCCTCTTCTCTCTCAATTTTCCTATTTATTTCTTCTTTGTCTCACAATAGTTTCATAGAAAAAGTGATTCTTCAGTTGATCAAACAACTCGAATAGCAAAGAACCAGTTGATCAATCAACTTCATTAGAAAGAAGCAGGGGCAGGGGCAGGGGCAGAGGCAGAGGCACTGAAATCAGAGGATAATTCACTAGAAATAGGACCAGGGGCAGCACCATTACTCACGAGCTCGATCATGGCCCGGTGAGGGTTGGTCTTCACTTTATCACATAGATCTGGCAAAAACACTCCTGCACCATGTTTGAAAACATCATTAAAAATCATCGTATTGANTTTTCACAATTTAATTCCCGATCTCATTTATTTAGGTCACACAACACCCGATCGCCTTGAGAAAAATTCGACTGTATCGAAATTTAACGAAAATTGAGTAGGTAACTAAATTTTGCGAGACAAATCCAACAGTGAGGTCCGTTTCATCAGTCGAGTTCTAAAAAAAATTGGATTTTCAACCCGTACCGTAGTGACTAATTACCGTTTTGCCTTTTTTTTAAAAAAATCAAATTTACTCGAATTTTACAATTATAATAGTGTGATAGAGTTGTGACGTTCTCGTTTTGTTATTTTTGTTTATCGAGAATGGCCTTTATAATCTCCAACCATTCAATGGTGAAATCTTGCTGATGTATTTCAGTCGTGGACGTAGGATTTCTTGTTGGGTCAAACCACGTAAATCTCTTGTGTTCTATTTTTCTATTTCGTTTCATTATTAGTTTGCTTGTGATTTTGGTTCATAACAATTTTCATATTTATTACAACTATACAAATTTGTTGATTGTCATAAATGATTGGTTGAAAGAATATCTATTACAAAATGCTTAGTTGAATTTTAATTTTACATAAGCAATGTATAAAATAAGTTTAAAAAACTCTAATAATAAAGTCTCTTAAAATTAGTTTAAAAAAATGGTATAAATGATTTCAAGGCAATTGCTTTTGACTTTTTTTTTTTTTTTGGTTATATAGTGCCTTCAAACACAAGCAATGACTAGTTCAATTATATTATACATAAAAGTGAGCCACATATTAGGGATGTTCATGAGAATATTTTTTTTTTTTTTTTTGTTAACAAGAAAAAGAAATGATTTCTTGTGAGTTTTGCTAGTTTAGCAAGGTTAATTGTTATGGTCAAATAATGCTACTTAATCACAAATCGAAGTTGTATAGAATAATGGCAATGAAATAGAATCAATAGAATCTACAAACCCCATCGAAAATAATGTTCAATAGAATCTCATTTAATTACATAAGATGAATTATCGACAAACCCCATAGAAAATAATGAAATCAAACTCCCTCTTCTCTCTCAATTTTCCTATTTATTTCTTCTTTGTCTCACAATAGTTTCATAGAAAAAGTGATTCTTCAGTTGATCAAACAACTCGAATAGCAAAGAACCAGTTGATCAATCAACTTCATTAGAAAGAAGCAGGGGCAGGGGCAGGGGCAGAGGCAGAGGCACTGAAATCAGAGGATAATTCACTAGAAATAGGACCAGGGGCAGCACCATTACTCACGAGCTCGATCATGGCCCGGTGAGGGTTGGTCTTCACTTTATCACATAGATCTGGCAAAAACACTCCTGCACCATGTTTGAAAACATCATTAAAAATCATCGTATTGGAAATAACTGTACAGTCTCTATGTTCATTGTATTTATCTCTTGCCATATACCACAGGGATTTACTGAATGAGGAAGGCTCATTGTGTCCCCATTTTTATCTTAAAAAAAGTAGTCTAATGTCATCAAACTCAAGAGTCATTATGTATTTGATTGAGTCACTTTGACAAGTTCAACTAAACTGATGTGTTCACATATACCTATTAAAGCCATTCTACAAAAGGTATGTCACCATTCTACAAAAGGTATGTCACAGATTATGTATTTGGCAGAGTTCTAATGACCCTTTCAACCACATCAAAACTCATCTGCAATCAACATAAATGTTATGGATCCGTTTGGAGCTGACTTTTTTAGGTGTGAATCAAAGTTTTAAAGACTGAAATGAAAAAATCAGAGTTAAAAAAACTCTAAACCCTTTAGAGTATTTTCAAAAGAGTCGACTTTTCTTTGAAAATCCTTAAATAAACCTTATTTTTCAACTTTCTTTGGTGCTGATAAAAATTGTTTTTGTCCAAAATACGCTTGCTCTTTTCTATTGCCTAAAAGAATCTTTCAACCTTTATATTTTTCTTCATTGGAAATGCATTTTATCTGTCCTGCTTAATTCAAAGTTGAATTTATAAGTTAATCAAACAACCCTTTTCCACCAAATTTTAAAAACAAAAGAATTGAAGGTTTTAGAAGACTTCAGATATTATAGTTTGAATGCAAGACCTAGTAAGGCAAATTGAGTGGATAAAAAAGAACAAGTCGTCCTGAAGAATTTTTTTTTTTTTTTTATGGAACACAAAGGAAATAATATGCAAATTACCAAACATCATTGCAAAATCACATGTTGTCCTAACTAATTCACTTGCAACTAGAATTTATTTAGTTTTCAATCAGACTCTTTCAACTATTTTAAACAAGTGGCGCTGCTAGCATTCGAAATTAGAACGGGTACGTCCCCCTTTAGGCAATGGGAGGATTAGATGACTCGTTTATATCGTACCGATCAAGAACTGAACAGTTTGACCAAAGTTTGTCAATCACACGTACTCTATTCACGTTTTATTTTGAACCCAAGCCAATTAGAAGGATCATGATGTTTTCTTACCTTCTCCGGCGGCCAAATTGAAGTAAAGATCGACAATGTTGGGGCAGTTCCGGTAGCAAGATGGAGAGCAAAGCTTGGTAGTGAATTGTGGCTCAAGCAAGGCATCAGATGATATTCCAACAGAGTTCCTATCAACCCCACATGCACTAACACATTGATCAGTCTCTATGTACTCAGCCATCCTCGCAACAACCACTTCTGATGTCCGGCATTGATATGCCACCTTTCCGTCTTTTGTTGCGTAATTCTCCAACAAACACCTCTTGCCGGACGATGCAATTGAAAATGAACAAACATCCGTAGGCAAGTCCTCGCATATAATCTCACCTAATGTAGCAAAAAAATACATATAAATATTATTTAAAAAGCAAATTCAAATTTCTTTTCTTTTTTTAAAGATGATTTCGTTAACATGGAGAAAGGTATACGCATAAATAAAGTATGCTCCGATTTATAATGAAGAAACCCGAAACAAAAAAAAAAAAAGGGTAAAATACGCTTTTAATTCCCAAAGTATGAGCGTGTCTATTTAATCCCCAATCTTTTAATTGTGCCTATTTGGTCCGTAAGTATCCTAATTTGTGGTCCAATTCCAAACTTGCCTATGGTCAAACGCCATTCACATGGGACTAAATAAATGCAAAATTAAAAATCATGTGATTGGTGCATGACCAGAATCGTCACAATTTTTTTACAAATATTTGGAATTAGACCACGTAGATACAAATTAGAAATCTTAGAGACCAAATAGACACAATTGAAAATTTAGGGACTAAATAGGCACTAAATGCATATTTTAGGCACTAAAAATGTATTTTACCTAAAAAAAAGAAAGGTATAGTGATGGCAGATCTTCTATAGACAAGAAGGCAGAAGACATGTCATCCTCAAGAACAAAAGAATAAGCATTTACAAACCCATTTCAAAACAAAGAACAAAAAGCATAAGAAAATTGGTATGTGAATGCATACAAACATTGTGTATACGAAGAGAGATGAAGAAAAAGATACCTAGTGTTCCATGGAGGAAGAGAGAGCAAGCAAAGAAGAGAATCAATGGAGATGTCCTTGAAAAAGCCATAGATAGATCGTTTATTTTGTTCTTGTTTTGCTTGTCTATGGAAAGAAAGGGATTGCTTTGGGGGAGATTTGGAGGAAAAGAATTATGTTGAGGATTGAAAAGGGTTGGTGAGAGAGAGGAAATGGAGGATGTTGTTTGTGTATGTGAGTTTTAATGATGGAAATGGTGAGCTGCCTTAATATAGGGTTTGCTCACCGCCTTGATGTGCTCTTCTTGCCTTCTAAGTATCTTCTCCTATTTTGACACATTCTCTATATTTCTGGGACGCGTTTGGCTGACCTCTCTCTCTCTCTCTCTCACACACACACACACACATGTATGATACGTGTTTTGTTGTTGACGCCAAAAAAAGACATGTTTGGATGTCTTGATGTTGAATTTTGGAAACTTCCCCAATCATATCCCATCGTATTCTCACTCTATTAACGTTTAAGGGTGGTTAGTAATTAACTCTATTCTCTTGCAAAAAAGAAGTCTCAATTTTGATACTTCTAACACCCCTTAAGAGTCAACCATTTTTATTCTTCAAAGAACATGTCTTTAAGTTAACTCGAATTACAGTGAACAATTCAGAGTTTAATAGAATAATTGGCGTAAATTTAAATATCCTATAACAAAAAAATATATGTATATATATATATATTCTCATTCTGTTCTTTGTTTTATAGTTTTTTCTCTTCAGCTGGGCTCCAAAAGCTAACCAACTAATAATTAATTATTTACTAATCAGCACTTTCCATGGAAATTTCCATGATTAAGATTTTTTAAAAAGTTTATTCAGTGTGATGCATGAGAGATTGATTGCCCGAAATTGCTCATTTGATATTTGCATCAATTAATCCCATGAATCACTACAATTCATAACTCTCTGTCATACCCAAAATTATGCTTTCATTAAAAAGAATATGAAGGCCATTATCTAGTTAGTGCTAACCATTTATACATAATTATTTACTAAACTGCTTTGCTAATCTAATCACTGCATCCATTGGATTAACTAGTCTAGCATTGGACAGAGTACAATGTCAATCTTAATACAATAATATATTAGGAATAATAATCAAAAAAATAGACCAAAAACAAAGACCAAATGATGTGACATTAGCTTAATAGTATTGTTGGTTTCACTTTTACGCACTTGAAATTCAAATTTGTCCCATTATAATAATGTCAAATCATTTGGTCTATATTTTTAGTCTTCTTTTTTTGTTAGTGTAGCACTACTCATATATTAGATCACCAAATAAATTAGAATATTGCAGTGCATATGACACTAGATTAGGTCTGTCAATAATATCGGGTGAGACAAGTTCGTATCAAATTTTAGTGAATTCGTGTCAAAAAATATTTTATTCATTCATGATTCATTTATTAATTTGCATCAAACGAATCGTATCTTGAATTTCTTTTGATTAATTTCACTCACGCTCAATTCGTTTATTAATCGCCTCGTTTTAGATCCACTTATTTACAAAATAGATAACCTTAAGGAAGACTTAAACATTCTACTTTTGTATCATATTCGTATTATGTGATATTTTAACACCCCTACACTAGATATTTTCTTGCTCTATTATTTTGTTTTAATTTCCCTCAACTTCTAACTCATGATTAATAATAATAATAATAATTTTTGCGTCACCAATAATTCTCAAAACTCATTGAGCCGAAGACCAAAGGGAAACCAGCAGGAAGTTGAAGGGTCATTGTGCAGAAAAGTTTAGGTGCCAACACTGTTAGTTCTACGTTCACATCGAAAGGCCACGTTGACTCCACGTGTCAACTTCTAATATGGTGAAACCCAACGACCCAAAAAAAGTCAGAAATTTGCGAAGGCGCCGCCTCGGAGAAAACTTCAAAGTTAATCAGACAGGAAGGAAGGTGGTTAGTTCCAGTTTCATATTAACTGTCATTTCTTCTAGAAGTTCTAGGAGGTTCTTTTCTATGCAATGTGACCGACAAGGTCAACGTAGACCCACTCCAACCCCCTAACAGATGTCATTGCATGTATCAGCTTTTGATATAATAAGGACAGGAATCTATGGAGGCACTTAACCTAGGATTAGTATTTATAATTGAATTGAGTTTTGTGAGTTTGTGAGTTGAATCTGTCAGGTTTATTTTTTTAAACAAGTTTAATGCTTCATTCGATAGAAGGATAGAAAATAAAAATGATGAAAAGAGTAATATTATACTGACTAAATTTTAGAACAAAATTAAGAGCCCAAATAATATAACAGTATATTATTTATAATTTTTATTGGGACCCAAATGACATGATACCAAATAAAAATGTCTAAGTTAGTTATCATGTCATTTGAACTCTTAATTTGGTCCCAAAATTTGGTTAGTATAACATTACTGAGATGGAAAATAAAAGGGACACATTTTTTATCTTTTATGCTCTGTTTGATAGGAATGATGGAAAGTAGAAGAGATGTATTTTCTATCATTCAAGGATGAAAAATAAGAATAATACATTTTCCTTCCTTTGTGTTTAGTTGGATGGATGGAAAATACAAATGACTAATTTTTTTTTTAATTTTTTTTTTGTACTGGATAAGATTAGGAGTGACAATCAAGTCATATCATGTCATGTCTGATTTGTATTGAGTTATAAAATTATGAGTCTTTTATATTTCTTGTTTGCATGTCAGGTAATTTTCAAATTCGTGTCGAGTTATAATCAAGTTTGTGTCATAAAATTCGTGTCGCATTCGACTCGTGTCATTTTTTTATTTTTTATTTTTTAAATGTATTATATATATACATATTTATCATTGTATTTTTATATGAAATTAATGTATACATAATATATAGACAAATAAGATACATTTCAACACAAATAATTACCTTTTCATCCACTTTTTTTCCAATTTTGGAGGCATTGATTTTGATGAGTTAAAAGGAAAGTTAATTCATCCACTTTTCTATCTTTCTTTTTTTTTCTTCTTTACCAAACATGATATTTTTTTTATCCCTCCAATTTTTCATTCTTTCATTTTTTCATCATACCATATAGAGCATAAAATATTATTCAAGTGCGGTTTGTTTAAAAAATGAGCCGAATCAAGTCCAAAACGAGGAATAGCTCGACTATTTTACGTATAAACGAATCGAGCTTTACGAGTTTAAATTAAATCTGAGCCTAAAAAATTATTTAAACACGTCTCGTTTAGAACACGAGCTGATCTAGAATCGAATCTTATCTGAATCAAACCCGAATAATTCCGTTCAATTATCAATCCTACTTAGGATGGAATTTAAAGACATTCACAAAAATCAAAAGGCTAGTATTCGTATGATTGAATAAAATGTTTGACATAAACTCACTCGTTTTATTGTACTCGAGTAGCTTTAGTTGCATATAACCTGAGATTAATGAATACGTGTGTTTTTGTCAATATATAGTTTGTACGATACGAACATGGTAAGCACCAGAAGGGTGAAAATTGCCAGAAGGGTGACTGACGTAACACCTATTGTTCTACAAAAAGAGACTTGAAACGTCATTTTATATGGACAGCTATGGTGATCATAAACTAATGAGTGAAAAGTTGCATGCCCTTTATTTCGTTTTCATTAGAATGATCTCTGCATATTGAAACTGAAAAACTAATCTTATTTAGAACTAATTTATTTTTGTCATTACATTAGGTGAATCTTACACAACAATTGAAATAGCGACACCTAATTGAACAAGGTGAGATTCCTACAACAAAAAACAAGATTAGAAATGGGCAAAAAATGTGTTCGACATGTCTCATCGAATACTTGAGTCAATCGGTGTTTAAACTGAGAGAATTGAGAATATTGTATATAATGGATTACACTTGCGTACCATAGATCCAATCATTTGACTAATTAGGAGGTCTACAATTTGAACCTTATAAATAATGAGCGTGTGTATGTGACGAAAGAAAATCAATTCTTATTAGGTCTAACAACTAAATTTAATCCCGCACGAGCTACTTAAAAACTTTCATCCCAATTTTTCTTAGGAGCAAGACATCCACATCCATGTAAACAGAAAATATTCCTAATTTTTACTCCCTTTTTTCGGTGTTAAAAATGGATATGGAATAGGTTTCTCCACATATTCGTTAGGAAATATTACTCTTCAACACCAAACAACCAGGGGCGGCCCAACAAATCTGGAGGCCCTAAGCGATAATATAAAATGGGGTCCTATTAATAGGTAATAATTATTAAAATATATTCATTTAAAAACTATTTTTCTAACTTTTTGAGATGTAAAAATATTGATTAAATTTTTATATTCAAATTTTGTTAATATATCTTTTTCAATGGATAATATAGCTAATTCATTTAATATTTCTTATGACATAGTTGATCGGAGATAATATTTTATTAATTTAAATTTTGAAAAATATTTTTTCGCCAAAGCAACTGTTACCGGTATTATTAACAATATTCTAAAAGCTATACATGCATTTGGAAAAGAATCTAATTGTTTTATATAATTTAAGGTTTCTGTTGAAGTGATAATTTCAGATTGTTAGATTTTTCTTAACACAACCAATTTTTAAAATAAATCTAAATCATCAATATCAGAAAATAAATCATGCTTCAAAAAAATTTTAAGGTTAAGACAATAACTTTTCAAACTATCATCATCTAAGGATTTTAATTTTTTAAAACAAAATAAAAAACTAAAAATATTTTCATATATTTTGAATTATTCAAATCTGCTCTTGATCGAAGAAATAGCTACATCAACTATAAATAAAAAAATACTCAATTCTAAAAGATTCTTTAGTCGATAGTGTTATTGTATTCTCAATTATAGATGAGAGAGATGTTAAGAGATAGATGTTAAGAGAGAGAGAAATGTTAAGAGATAAATGTTACTAGTCATATCTATCTTCCTTGTTACAAAAGCCTATCAGTCTTATATAGTTGACAAGAAGTCTAGCAATCTACAATACCTGGCAAGTTGAGTAATTTTTTAAATAAGTAAAATTTGGACCCTCTCAAAGCAGCCCATTCAAAATATATTTATCCAAAACTAAAACTCCTACTTGGGGGCCCCAAAATTTTATACAAACTAGAGGCCCTAGGCGGCCAACTAAGTGCCCTAGGCCTAGGGCCGGCCCTGCAAATAACTATTTGTAAGATATTCCAACGCAC